TTTTAGGGTTTTTTTTTAGCTTCTTTGATTTTATTAATGTTAAAGTGAATTTTGCAGTGACGTCCTGACTCTTCCAGTAGTGAAATAAAAAAGTGCTCTAATGAGTTTGTCTTGAGCATCTAAGGGGCTAAATATAATTTCATTCTTCCCTTGTTTTGGACATTTGACCAGTTGTAATGTTTTATTCTACTTATGTTCTGCTGGATATTTTTATTAGTTCAGTTTGAAGAACTGAAATGTAGTAGGATAATTAAGAGAGTGATACAGAGATTTAATAAAGCCAGTGTAAAAATAAGATACTTAAAAATGCATAGGTTTTGTTAAGCTTTCTCTCTCCCTCAGTCTCTTTCTCTCTCTCACCCTTACACACAGACACACGTTTCCATTTTTTCCCCATAATAAGAAATTAAATTGTCATTTCTGTTTATCATTTGAAAACTGAGATTTAAAACTAAACCAGCTGAAAATATTTCTCATATCATGAAGGACCTAATTAAGGTGCAGAAATAGGTTAAAACGTCAATGGAAAGACCTTTTTATTTTCTAGTCTTTTGGCACGAATAGTTGTGTCATTGTAATTTCCATGCCAATTTTTGGTCAAGAACCAGAATTCTTTATCTTTCTTACTGAAAGTCTGTAACCTTCGAGATTCCCTTTCTCTCTCTGGAAGCCTTCGGAAATTGAGATAAAACTGTAGAAGAGTAACAATTTCCATAAGCAAAAATAAATCAAAGTACTTTAAAAAGGGAAAAGTAGATGTAAATTACAGAGGAAGTGATATTGTGAAACAAATGACCACTGATTCTGTGAGAGTTGATACCGAAAGGAATGGCAGAAGGCTCTTGTGAATCATAGCGGAGAACAGCTTTTACGTTCAGGGTGTACTTGCAGATAAACCAACATTCAGAAATGATTGGATTTATTCATTCTGCTCCCATTGTCAGCAATCAGACAAGGTTTGCAAGAACATTTATGCCCAAGGAAGAAAACCAATACTGTGAAACTCTTGAAACAATGAAAGGATTTTTGAATTGTGCATCCGAGCACTCCCAGAAGAAGGAACTCAGCCCATGTGGTCTCTTGAAGTTACTCTTTAGCTTTACCTGTGTATCAAAGATGTAAACATTTGTTATCTTCTAACATGTTGATGAAGTTAAGATTTAAAATGAGCACGTGATCAAGGCAATCTAAATGGTACTAGAGTATTTTGATTTGCTAATTAAAAAACTGCAGGAGATGGTCTGCCTTGATTAATTCCCTCTTTATGCTTTGCCAGACTTTGTGTCTCTTGGGTGGGACGCCATATAATGATTTTTGATGTTTACAGGGATTGTTCTGTACATGACAAAATAAAGCCTGAGGCAAGGTAAGTAGAGTGAAGAAAGAACAGAAGGATAGAGAAGATGGAGAGCAGAACAGGAAGAAAACTCACACACATCCTTTTTATTATTAATATGAATGGTATCCTGCATTTCTCATTGAGGCTTAGGCTGTGGATGTGTTGCAGAAAAGACTCATAAAGGAGTATGAAACCTGGAAGGGAAGTGAATATGCCAGCTATGGAACTATTTTTTTTTTATGTTATCGTTCTTATCTAGAAAGATACTTGAGTTATGTCTTGCAGTGGTCACAGAAAATTAACTTGCTGATTCCCATAGCCATCCCAGTTCACTTCCGTTGGCACAGCTTCATCTGTGGTAGCAGTGCTGGCAATGCTGATGGAGGCTGCTGGCAGCCCATCTACAGTGTCTCAGCTGGAGTATCATCTAGTTCCCTGCGAGCAGAATTGGAAGAGAATGCTGGAGCAATCAGATAACATTTGTACTTCCCCCATGCGAGTTCTTTCTTTTTCATATAAACGTGCTGATTAATTTCACTTGCAGAACTGGATGATACGTATTCTTGCAGACATTATGTGGAAACTTTCAGTGCCTTTTCAAAGTTCCATTTTATTGCTATATGGATATTTTAACATACTTAATTTTAATTACATCTGATCCTTATTTCACATAATGGTACAACATGGAAATTGCAAACACCAGTAAGAATAGTGGGGGGCTGTCGCAGATGGAGTGAGGCACTTCACTCATAAGGAAGACGCAGCAATATATTTTATTCAGTTAAAAAAGTTTAAAAGTAAATGCGACAATGGCTTGACAAGATTTGCTGGCAAGGTACACTAGATTATTTACTACATAATGGACAGGGTCAGGCAAAACTGTCGGGGAGACTCTCCCGTTGAGTCACGAGGTTTAGAAAGGCCCCTCTTGCTTTCTAAACTCCTAAGAGAGGAGTCTAGGTGTGGCTGGATCCACTCCTAGTCCCAGACTTGGTCAACAGTTTATGTCTAAAGGACTCTATGCGCACAGTCAATCGAAGATAAAATCTTAATGAAGCTTCAAAGTTTAGCTAGCTGTTAGTCACTTACTGAGCATCTGTTGCAGCAAGGTATCTCTCAGCCTCAAGGAGTAACCTTGAGAGGTGTCCCTACTGAAGGAGGCATCCTGGCTTACAGCCCACTGCCATACAGGAGAGCTCTGAGGGCTCTTGGGCTGCTTACTGTTTATGGAGCAAGATGATTGACTTATAGTCACATTTGCATATGGACTGCAGATGCCAGTTTCTACCAACTGTGGCTTGAGTCGGACACTGACCAGTGCTGCTGTGGCCAGGTGGGCGCATTACGCTAGATTAGCCCCTGGCTGTTGTGTTGTTGTCAGTTTCCCCAGTCCACTTTGAGCTTGGAGGCAGCCGTGGCAAGCAGACATATCCATCACAATTGCTGCTGGTGGTTAACTCTTGAGCAGGGTTATGGGAAAAGGTTAGAGCGGGGGGGCGGGGGCAGTGGGGAGGCATAATGTCACAGGGGCTGCCAGTAAACATAAAGGTGTTCCGGTCTGCAGGGACCCTTAGGCTCATTTGGAATCCCTAGGACAGAATACAGTTTGTCTGTATTATGTTCATTTAGGAGAATATATGGAAATAATAATTACGTTGATGGTTCTTGTGAGGAAAAGCTATCATGATGACTGCTGTTTCCAAAGAGACAAAATGCAAACCAGTTAAGGGAACGGCGTGACTAATAACAAAATCCAACAATTTCATGTTGGATAAATTATTTATTCTGTGTATTCTGTGGAGGGGAGAGATACAGTGTGTCAAGTTTTCTGACAGCAAAATTCTGTTGACGTTGGTTGAATTGTGCCAGCAAAGATTTTGGGTTTATAATCTCAGATAGCGCAGCAAATAAATGTACTTCTTTTATGAGAAAGTTCAAATCAGTAGCAATTAGCATTCCCCAGGCCTAATTTTCCACCCAATAAGTGAAGACAAATTTAATTAGAAAAGGTGTATTTGGGAATTCTGCCGGTAGCAGATGATCTGCTTGCATGTGGCTCTATTGAAAAGTCTTGTCTCCTGCTTTTTGAGCATGTTCTGGTAGTAGTCACTGCACCAAGAGTACTGTGTGCTTCAGCTATATGCTTCAGGATTTTTTCATTTTACCCTGTATTTGACTTGATCTCCACATTAACTTCAAAATTAATGTATAAAATTACTAACTGCAAGTGAGATAAGACATGGATGCAATTACACTGGTTTTTTTTGTTAATACAGTAGTCTGAATTTTTTAAATATTGATTTGATTGTCTCTACTTATCTTGTGGATAAAGACCTTCTGGATATGTGATTCTACTGTCCGTGAACACTGAGATTGGTGTTGCTGTGGCTGTTACTGCCTCTTCCTTACTACCTTTGCCTTACAGATTTCACAACTTGTCTCCTCCTATGTGTTTATCCCAAGGCTTTTTTTAGGGATTATCTGAAAGCGATCCTGTGGTCTTTAGTTTGTTAATTTTTCCTCTCCCTCTGCTGCTTTTAGAGTGGATTTGTTTGTTTGTTTATTGTCACACTGCAAAGCACAGTAGGAAGGTAATTGTCTATCAGAGGTACTATAGATTTTATTATTGATCACCTTGTGCAGTAACGGTAGGATGTCAAATTGAATTTTAAGCTCTTTGATGTTGTTTTGCTGGTGATGGCTGCTAAGTGATGTACCCCTACTGATATGTCATACCCTGGGTCTTGCTTTGTCGTTCTTAGACTTTCGACATTCCTGAAAGCTTAACTAGTTTCCTGATGATAAAGCAGTTTGGAAACTTATTTAATTTCTTTTTGAGTAGATTGTTTCCAGTGTTACCTTTGACTGGTTGCTTTAACAGTATACGTTTTCTCTGTGGTCGGATACAGGTACACAGCCCTAACAGCAGTGTCTATTTTGTGGCAGAGTAAGATGTGCTCTCTGCACCTGAGACTTGTCAGGGAAAGCACCAGACATGTCTGAGGTCTGTGCTGCAGGCATCTGGCAGTAACAGGGTCTCCAGCTAGACCACCCTGAACTAAGACACAGAACGAAGGAAAGCCCTGTTGTCTGTGGTGCTCCAAATAGGTGACATTTCAAATGTACTATGTGTGGATCCATGACATTGCTGAATCTCTGCTTTGCTAACTGTAGAGACTTCTAGATCTTCACATCTTTCTTGTGATCAGTTATTACAGTTCAAATATTTTCATTTTTGTTTTTGAATATGGTACGGAAGCTTCAAGCCAGCTTCTCTGTTTGTATCCTTAGAATTCATACTTCTGCTTTGTACTCTGACATTTTGTTACCAACATATTGTTTCCTTCCGTTTGGGTGGAAGTTATATGTAGGTACAAACAACTCTGATGTAACTGTACATGTATATTTCTTCAAGGTGGTGGTACAAATTGGGCTGTTAAAACACAAACTGCTTTCATTTGTATGTAGAAATATCCTTTGAAAGGAGAGGAAAGATAAGCGTCTAAAATATCCTGTTTTAAAGAGTGTATCTGTTTTGTCTCATTCTTTAGTTTTCTTGATTTGGTCCAGTGTATATTTAGTATTTGAAACTCAATTGCTGATAAAATCTCTCGTTTAACAGCTTTTCTAAGTATTTTCACTTTCCCTTTTCTCTCTGTAGGTGGAAGAAATTGTTGATATAGGAGCATTTGCCCCAGAAGATATTCATGTTCCCAAAATCTATGTTGATCGTCTAATACAAGGAGAGAAGTTTGAGAAGAGAATTGAAGTAAGTAGCTGAGCTTCTTGGTCGCAACATATTTCAGCTGGGGATATATTTTAGAATTTACAGGGTTTGTATTCTAGCCACCAAGTCTTAGCACTGAGAGAATAGTGTGAGAAAGACCTGTCAAGCTTTGGTAAGTACTAGAACTTAGGTAGTTAGTACTTAGGTGGGGGCCTGAGAATTGGGCCTTGTTTCTTATACCTCAGCCTCTCTGATTCAGTCCCCGAATAATTTAGAGGAACTGCCTGTAGTCCTGGATGACTTTAACACAGTTGAAAATGTGATGGAAGATGCTACTTCATTTTCCTTCCTTTTATCAGTTCACCTTCTGTAGACATATATCTACAGTAAGAGCTGACTTTGACACTTGGATACTGTCTTTTCTACTGGAGAGCTTTTGACATGGGCAGGTGGAGCCACTCTCAGCCCCTTTTGTGCCGTTGTTGAATTACCTTACATTGCAAAGGTCCTTGAACCTTTCTTCCCTTTTCTTTACTCAGGAACTTTTTTAGCCATTGGCATTTCTGGTCTGAATAAAAGATGTCAGTAGCTATTAAAAATTGCAGGGATAATATTCCATCACTAAAACCACCAAAGAAAATTATGATTGTGTAATTGTTCTTCTTTGTTTCTGTGGCTTTGCCTCACTCAAGCTATGTCCTTATATTCGTTTTAGTGATGTGACAATGCTCTTAAAGTGCAATTGAGAATTCTGTATTTCTTCTGTATCTCCATACTCTGGAGGTGGGTATTATTTAAAATGTCATCAGAAGAGCTGGTGGAGGGGGAGATATATGACACAAAGGAAAAAACATCTTGAAAAAAAAAGTGTAGAAAAGAATGGTAATAATTAAACTTTTATTATTAAAATCAAGTCACAAAGTCCTAGAAAGTCATACAAGGCCTTTTCTCTGAGTAAACTCCTTTATGAATATTAAGGTTAAAAAGCTTCTTCTTTTCCTTCAGTCTGTTCATTCTGCAAAAACATATTGCATGTTGTTGAGTATTTGACTGGAAACAGATGTGTCAAACCGTTTTTCTTTTTCCCTCTTACTTTCTCTGGGCATGTTGTGTTAGATGGCAATTAATGGCCTGTTTCCTTCTTCTGAATGGATGCAATATCTCACAGAGAAGCTTTTACCTTTCATGAGAGATACCCATTTTGCATTTATTAATAACAGCTGTTCTTGTCGCAGTTTGGCAGTGGATGAAGAGATGACCCTCAGTACAGGGAAGACCTTTATACAAACACCTGATTTTCTGTGGCTGACTGCATAAGTGGATACACCTACCTAGTCAACTGTCCCCTTCCCTATGTGCTTAAGAAAAAAAAAGAAGTGAAAGAGGGGAAAACAAAAGCTACTACAAACTGCACTGCAAAGTTGTAACAGAGATTAATTTTCTTTGTGTAATTTCGTAATTCCGGCAATGACACCTCTCATTAATAAAAGTATAGGAAGGAAATGGTGGATTTATTTACTCTTCCATAAAAGATTATATATGAAGGAAGTGGCTAAACACATGAAAGCATTGAATATGTTAAGTAGTAAGAGGAGAGATGAGGAATAAAGACAAGCTAGTCTGTCATAATTTTTTACTGGCTTTAAATGGCAGTTCCTGCCTAATTTGGCTCAGACATGGTCCCTCTACTGCCAGTCATACTTTCTATCCAGCCCTCTCTTTGCTGCAGAGAAACCCTCTGTGATTGTTCTCGCTTCTTCCGTAACTCACAAGTGAAGCAATTCTAGGGAAGCTACCTAAGGCATAAAAAGAAAGTAGCTTGGAAATTCAAGAGGATTGATATTGACTGATTTTGGCTGCCTAAGAGGAAAGTGACTCCCAACGCAGGGAAAAAAGACACTGCAAAAATTCTTCTGTGGCGACGAAAAGGAGCAGAGGATAATTTTGCCTGATGCGTTCGTTGTGGCCTGAAGTAGGAGAGGATGTGAAGGCATACCAGGGTGCAGGACATGGTGTTGCTCAGAGCAGTTTTATATGCGTGGGAGAGATGCGCAAAGAACATAATCTATGTAAACAATAACCTCAAAAAAAGGCCTTACAAACTTCTTGAATGTCATGGCATTTTCACCTACATGTGATTTAGAAAGCATCAGCTTAACGCCAGGAAGTCTCAGGAAGCAACTTTAAGAAGATTTACGGAAGATTATACAGATTTATGTTTGAAAACTCAGTTACTTAGCTCTTAGTATCTGTAGATGACTGGCGTTCCTCTGTCTCATGCATACAAATCTGGAATAGCACCACTGAATTGAATGAATGCAGAAAGAGAGCAATATTTGTATTTTAGACTGACATTTTACAAAACGATTTAGATATCTCTGGGGTAATGGAACTCAGACTTGCTAGTATTTGCACTAATGCTTGGTGCCTTCTTAGCCAGTTGTCTATGCGCCACGTACTCTCTCAGCCTTGGCAATACAGACAAAAAAATAACATTTTGTTCTAAGGCTATCATTGGTGATATTTGATGATTCCATTGGCTTAGATAAGCTTGAACTGATAGAATAAAAGGTCATTTTTGGTAGAAGATTGATAAATAGACCAAATATCTCAGTGCAATCACAAATCAGGCTTTCGTATCTTCAAAAGCAAGAATCTGGATTCTAATCTTTACTTATGATTACTTCTTCTTTTGCAGCGCTTATCAATCCGAAAGCCTGAAGACTCAAAAGCCAAACAAAAACAAGGAGACAATGTGAGAGAGAGGATCATCAGAAGGGCTGCTTTAGAGTTTGAGGATGGCATGTATGGTATCCTCCAGCTGTGCTATAGGTTAAAGTGATGACTCACTAGAATAACAACCGCAGCTGTTTTTTTTAGGACAGGTTAATTACCATGCTTATTGTCTTTCAGAGAGCCTGGGATTCTCTCATTTTATTAACACCTTATTGAAATAAATGGGATGTTAAGGCATAGGGTACCCGGAGTTTTAACCAGGCGTATCTGGAGAGTTCATTACCAGTTGAATGTTTCGCAAGAATTTATTGAAAAAATGATGTGTTTTGGAGATGAAGCGTACTTGCACTGTGGGTTTTTTATCATGTAAAGCATTTGGCAGAATGCAGTTAGACAGCCCAAATGACAAAATAATTCATCACAAATATGAGGCATCTGACTAAAACTGAAAGTGTTTGTGAACAGTTCTAATCTAATCATAGTGCAATGATAACTTTTTTGAATTTACTATTTTGCAGTAAGTGTGTTCCTCTTTGTGCCTTAACCAATTCTTTTCAGCTAATCTGGGTATTGGAATCCCCCTGTTGGCCAGTAACTTCATCAGTCCAGACATAACTGTTCACTTACAGAGTGAAAATGGAGTCCTGGGTTTGGTAAGAATGTATCTTGGCCGCTTACTGCAGTGCACTTAACCTTGCAGTGGGTGGGGTTTTATTTCCCACCCACCCACATCTTGATTATAATTTTGCTAAAAATCGTATTCAAATATATGCCATATTGCATGATCATACAATTCTCATTGTAGTGCAGGGAAGTTTTTAAGGAATGGTCATTTCAGGATTGTAGTGCTACTGTACTAAGTTACATTCTCAAGTACGTTTTTTCTGGAAGGAGTCAGAACCTTCAGTAGTTGGTCTTGCCTTGAAAGCTTTATCAAACATAATTTTGAATAAAGCTTGAAGTGAATATTACTTTCACTGTTGTATGGCTTTATGAAGTTGCATCTGCATACCTTTTTCTGAAAAATGTCTGTCACTCAAACCAAACAAAACCCCCACTTTGTGGTTATTTAGTAATTCTACCAGCCTCTAACAGTGTGTCCATCAGTCCTAATATGTTAGTTGATGTAAATTGTGGCCTGTATCATGAGGGATGTTGCTCTGCTAAAGACAAAAAAATACATGTCTGTGATGGTCTCTTTTCAGTAATAAGCAATAGAAATAATAAAACAGTTACAAATTGTATCTCAAAAGTATTTTAATGTAGACATATGTCTGTGTTGTTGTCAGGGTCCTTATCCACTTGAAAATGAAGTAGATCCAGACCTGATTAATGCAGGTAAAATCTTTTAAATAAATTTAATTTATGGAAAATGATTATTCACTGTTCATCTGAAACCTTTTTTTGATTCAGTATTTGAACCCAGACTCCTGTTTTATTTACTTATAAATATGAATGTATTTGTCTTCTTTGAAGTGAAGGTTGGTTTTGATTAATGGAGATGTTCAGTAGTCCAGTTAGAGAGCTTATGCTTTGATGCATTTTAGTAGCTGCTGAAGGAAACTCTGCCAAGCCAGGCAATAAAGGGTCAAATCTTCCTCTTCAGAAGAGAAGTTATTTTGTGAAGCCTATATGCGAATATGGATTTGTTTCCCTGATACTTTTCACCTTGGGTTTTCTAGAAAATTATTTTCAATGGTTTACGTTGTATACCCATAGCTGACATCTTGGGACTTGTATTTTCATATGGAAAACCTGTGCATTTTGTATTTTTTATTTATGTATACATATATGCATATACACATATATGTATGGGTATGTACATATGTGTTTATATAGATAGTACTTTTCTCAGCCACTGTTAGCAAGTACAATTAAACTCTGAAAAGTCAAAGGAGATAAAGCACGAACTTCACACAAGCTTTTAATTTAATATCACAGTGCAGTGTAACAATTGTTCACTGACTTGAAACGTTTGCTACCTGGCTTGCCTATACCATTATCATACTTCTATGTTATTAGGCCTGTTTCAGCATTATGTTTTAAATGAGTATTTAAGGCCATCTTCTGATTCAAAATAAGAAATAGTTAAGGAATTGCATCCAGTATTTCACCAGTAGCTAGAAAACTGTTGTGATAGACTGTATTAAGGAAAATTTCAGAGGCACGTGAGAGCTGTAGTAGTGTTTGAACTGAAATTGAGGTGGTTTTGTTGTTTTTTTTTTAAATATTGGAGGTTTCATTGGAGGGAAAAAAATTATTTAGAATAAAAAACATTTACTATAAAAGGTGAAATTATATGCACACATATTTGAACTTAAATTCTAATATGTATACACTAGAAATGAACATGTTAACAGAGTGATGATGTAAGTAAATACTCTGAAAAATCATGGTGCTTTTATATGGATGTCAACATAATATTGAATTGTTTATGGTTGATAAGTATTTTTGAAGAGATAATCTTGCAGGGATGAAGCTAACGTAAGAGGTTAGAGTGCAACATGGAAATCAGATTATTATACTATTGGTACTTCAGTGTTAAGCACCTTCACATCTTCCTCTGAAGCTGTAGTAGACAGGACACAGGATAGGAGAACTTCAACTCTACAACCAAAATTGTTATTTTTATCATTGTCAAAAGACACAGAGCTGCTAAATCCCTCTGACACTTAGTTGGATTAAAATCACTCGAGGTTCTTTCCAGCTAAATTTAAAAACACGTGAAGAGAATAGATGCTAAGTGGCAAAGGAATAGGATTTAATTCTGTTCACATTCATAGACTGGAATGGTACAATGTCAGCCCTCAAAGTCCACATTTTCAAAATATACTTCCAGTGTGGGCTTTCGCCAGATTTTTACCTGCAAATGTAATTATATTTCTCTGAAATATGTATATTTTTTGGTCCCATTTTCTGAATGTCTCACATGAAGTTAACTGGAACTGAAAGGTAGACTTCTGTCTTACAGCAGACATGTTTACAAGTACTGACTTCCTGAGAGCATTTTCAAGAAGTGGGTAATGGAATGATCTTGCCACATTGTTCTGTGATCCTCAGCCTGTGTCTTTTTCTTCTCAGCATTGCATTAGCTTGTTCCTTTATCTCAGGATTCTCACTCCATGTAGCTGCTTGCAGGTCGTGTTGTCTCTCCCAATCTTTTGGGCGAGTGCTTGGTAGGTAAAGACCATTCAGGCAGTCTCAGCAGTCTGGATGTTAACATGGTAAAGTCTCGTGATCTGACTGCAAGACCACTTGCATGACCCTAATTCTATACTATTTTGTGTGTCAAAATTTGGTTGCCGTGCAATGTCTTGGCATATAATACACATCAAATGAACGCAGTAAATGAAACCAGGTAACTTAGATCTCTATTTTAACTCTCCTACAGTGTTTCCTTCCCTTTTCCCGTCCTCTTAGTTAATCTCATTGTCCCTTTTTCCCTGTTTTCTGGAAAATGTTTAAAGATGTCTCATTCCTCTTCCCCATTGTTGTTACATCAACTTTTTTTCACAATTTCATCTAGTGCTAAAGTCTTGGGTTTTTGCTTTCAAGTTTCACATGCTCGGTATATAATTTCACCTTTGGCTATGTTTCTTATGCCTTTCCACAGGCACTCTGTACACATGGTTGGTGCTTAGACTGATTCAAAGTGCTGGCAGGAGAAGAAAGAGCGAGCTCTGGACAAAGTCAAGACGCTTCCATGTGTACTCTGTTGTTTGACTGTGCAGAGAACAGTACAGGACTCAGAAGCACATTTTCTTGTGCAGTTTAACAAAGCAAGAGTAGATTAGATCTGTCATTTATTTTCTGTATTCTACATCATTATCACTCTAGACTATTCAGTCTGGTCTGCTCGCTCTTCCTTGCAACGTCCCTGTCTCCTGAAGATGCTCTTTCTCTGTTTCAAAAGAGAGTTACCTCTCACTTTTTCTATGGATAGAGTGAAAGCTGAAGTCCACGGAGATTTCTTAGCCCCTGGTCTCAGTGATGTCTTGCCTGGAACTGCTGATGGTCAAAGAGCGAACAATGCTATCACGAAAAACTTTCACAAACTGCTTCACAGTTCATTATAGAATCATAGAATCATAGAATTGTTAGGGTTGGAAGGGACCTTAAAGATCACCTAGTTCCAACCCCCTGCCATGGGCAGAGAAATTCTCCACTACACCAGGTTGCCCAAAGCCTCATCCAACCTGGCCTTGAACACTTCCAGGGATGGGGCATCCACAACTTCTCTGAGCAACCTGTTCCAGTGTCTCACCACCCTCAATGTAAAAAATTTCTTCCTTATATCTAATCAAAATCTCCCCTCTTTCAGTTTAAATCCGTTGCCCCATGTCCTGTCACTACATGCCCTTGTAAAAAGTCCCTCTCCAGCTTTCCTGTAGGCCCCCTTTAGGTACTGGAAGGCTGCCATAAGATCAGCCCAGAGCCTTCTCTTCTCCAGGCTGAACAGCCCCAACTCTCTCCTCTAATCGTTATAATTGATTAGATTTACATGTGACATAGTAAGTATAATCAGGTCCATAGTTTTACAGAATCCAAAGGAATTTGATAAAACCCTTCTTTTTCCTTGGTTAATAGATGTGACTTCACTTGTCAAAGAAACAAAATATATACATATTATAGCTTATTTCTTTTACAGGAAAGGAGACAGTCACTGTTCTTCCAGGTTCTTCCTATTTCTCTAGTGATGAATCATTTGCAATGATAAGAGGGTACGTAACAACACAAACCGCAATCTTTTGAAGCATGAAAAGAATAAACTGAGTCAGTGACTGGCCTCGTTAGTAATTCCTTGAAATGTGGTTAAATTTTAACAACCTGTAAAATGATCATGGACTTAATCAGTGATGGTTTACAGAGGATTAGATCTAGCCCTTGGAAATAGGAAAACACTGTAACTAATAGATACCATACTGATGTTCGTGTCTACCACCACTTGGCCATATATAAACACATTTATAACTATGTTTTAACAACTACTTTTTGGTCATTTCCAAGTATCTAATCTGAACTTGCACTCTGTATATTCTCTGCTCAGCTTGCAACTGTGATCCTCATTCCACCTCCCTAATGGAAATTCACCATCTGCACCTGTTTTTTGTTTGTTTTTTGGGAAGGAAGTTGGATGCAAACAAACATTAAATCCTAATGGCTCTGAAAAGATAATGAGTGCATGTAAATATGTGAAGGAGTGCACTTAAAAGTATGAGTTCATAGCTGATTGACTGTGCATGCAATTAACCAAAACCAGACAAAAGTAATAACATTTTTGAGGCTCAGTAGGCAGACAGAAAAATTTGCATCGGCAATACATCTAGAGGGGAAAAAACCTCAACTACATGTGTAACAAAATGGTTGCTACCTCTGTGGTATGCCACCGTTTTTAAATTGATGTAATGAGAATGTGAACAAAAGCTTTTTAAGATTTGTGGGCTGTTATTTGAACGTGATATGCTAATTACATACTTTCTGTTGCCAGAGGCCATGTTGATTTGACAATGCTTGGAGCTATGCAGGTGTCTAAGTATGGTGATCTGGCCAACTGGATGATTCCTGTAAGTAGCTGTTTGTACTACTGTTAATGCACTGTATTTAGGATAATATTAATGTGGCTGAGGGTCAGGCAAAGGAGAAAAGGACTAAAGCAGAATGGGGATTGTGAAGTTCAAAGCATTAAAATAGAGAATATGTGCAGCCTTCAGGTTAACAGGTTTTCTTGCATACTACTGGCACCAAGCAATCAATTATCAGGAGTCAGGTCTCTAAAATTATGCTTTTGCTAAGCATTCTGAACAGCTAAACATGATTTATGTAGGCCTTTTTACTTCCTCTTAGGTCTGTGCCTTGCAAATGTCATGTTTTTTCGCTGAGGGCTGATGCTTATTCTTGAGAGTGACAACTCTTGTATAGTTGTACCTGGAGCAAGAACTTGAAGGAAGGTATAAAACAACATGTAGTTCATCATAAAATGATAAAAAAAGTCTGCGTTATTTTTCTTGGTGTTCCTGTCAAGGAATCACAGCTTTATCATTTCAAATACGTCTAGAAGGAAGCAATAATAATGTATTTACCCAAATAATCCCATGGGTTTCAACCCTGTAAATATAAAATAATCCCAGTATTTTTTAAGCAGCTGATGACATTAGGCCATACTTTGAACACAGTTTATGTTTTAACAGTAAACAACATACCTGTCTTTCACATGGTTTACAAGTTGATATTTTCAACAGCTTTCAATATGGTACTTTCTGTTATGGTTTGTATCAGAGATGTCTGGAAGCAAATTTTCTTTTTAGCCTGGTTTACAGTAATGAGGCGGATTTCTATCTGTCTGAGCAGTGCTAAAGTTATCAGGAAAGTCTTTGAAAACTGAAAGCTGGGTAGGAGAGGAAAAAACACCAAATGAAAGTCCTGTCTCTTGGAGAAGCATTAGTTGAGCCCAGCAGTCTGTGTGACCTCTCCAGCAGGCGTGTGAGCACACGAGTCGTGAAGCAGTGGCTGGAGCGTAAGCTGCTTGTAGTGAGAGGGGACGAAGACAGGGTCTTGTCAGGCAGGCATGGGAGAAATGGTTATCTGAAGGACTGTTCCAGTGTCTGTGTGAGCGATTGTAGGGCACGTGAAAGGGTTACAACTGGGTTGGAACGTGGCACATAGGAGATAAATCTGTGAGGAAACAGTCCTCCTCAGATGTTCTCACAGCACAACCCGGTTTTATGGTCACGCAACTGAGAACAGATGGACTAGTGCTGGCTAGATCTTTTCATACCCCTCTGATACAAGTGCTAGCTTTTTCAAGACTCTTTTCTACTTGCAGTGCCATCCAGTTAATCTTGTGAAAAGCAGGGTCCGAAAATTAATGCTGCTGTTAGTGCATCACTCTAGGATCCGTGTGTGCTCTTTTATTGCTATTTTATGTCTTTTGGTAGAAGTCTGTGTTTTAAACAGTCTGATGGTCAGATATACTTCAGGAGTCCAAGTATGATGTGCGTTAAGGTAATACCAGTAAACTTTGCATTGTCCAATATAATTTTTTTTTTTGTCTTGAGTTACAAGAACTTGTCACTAGAATCCAAAATAATGAAACCAGCCTCTACAGAGGAACCCACACACACTTCAAAATAAAAGGGATAAAGCAAATCACATTTTTAACCCTAGATTTGCTATTTCAACCAAGGCAATGATCAAGCAGTTGAAAGCTCGGGTAACTAAAACTGGAGTTTACCTGATTTATCTGTGGCTCTATATCTCAAAAGTATGGTAAGTCACCCAAACTCTATTTATATATTTTAAACAGCTAACTTAAAAAAAACTTACATTTTCAAATGATTGCCGTAAATAAATGTAAGTAATCTACCCTGTCAGTCCAGTACCGCAGGTATATGTCACTGCGAATCTGAGTGGGATATCTTTTCCTTCATGTCCGTCTAGGAACTACTCTTTTCTTTTACTGGATGAAGTAGCTCTGGTTTTGTGAAAGCACTTCCTTCATGTTAACTTGTGGTGGCTGTGATGTTTTATACAAGTAGAAATTACTTGTTTACATAGTGACTTTTAAAAATGATTCTGAATTATTACATTCTTTGTCAAAATTTTGAAGATAGACTACAAAAAATATTTTAAAGAAGTTGTTATAGTATAAACTCATTAGTTTTTTGTAAATAGGATTTAGAGATTTTCTTAGAGGCATAGTTCAGGATTGTTTTAATCTATACATCTTTTTATTTCAGTTGTCAGAAAGATTCAAAATTTTGTTTAGCTGGGTTGCCTTAGACTGACATTCTTTTTATACTTTTGCAAAATGAATGCTATTGTACAAACTTGTTGCTAGGCTGTTCTTTATATTCGAGATTAAATTAATTCCTGAGATTCTCTTCTTTAACAATCCTGTGGTCCTGCAAAAACAATGTTAAATGTTCCTGCACCTGGTAAAGCCTTGTGTTTACTCAAGCTGTTTCAAGAGATGCTATTAGAAAGCAGAATGGGGTGAGTTGAATGTTAGGTAGGAAGAATTGTTTTGTTTGCTTTTTCGTTCCTTTTGTAAATTGAAAAGGAAAGAGAAGCATTCTTCAACATACCCAAGTGAATAAAGACTCCTGCTCTAAAGAATTCTTAGTAAACCAACAAAAATGCACCTCTAGCAATAGCTCATAAAGCTGAAATATTTGAGAAAAGGCACTCCTGATTCATCAGTGGATAGACTTTAATGCCACAAAATCGCATTAATTTCAGCTGACCAAGACTTTTTCTTTTTAAATTAAAACTTGCAGTTAAAATCATATATTCCCATTTTCTCATACCAACTTTTGTTGTTTTTCATAGTTCTGTCTTTTCTGTATTTGACAAAATTAGTCATGCTTAACAAGCATTTTCTAAACATGGTAAAATGCATCTATTTATATTTCATACAACAAAGTATGTTTTGACATTGAATAAAAAATTTAAATTTTTGCTCAGGGTACATATACAGTTATCTTCAGAGAAAGAAGTGAAAATTAAACTTTTGCTGCATTTAGATAAACTTCAAGATATTTTCTGCAGATATTTTTCCAATATATTTATTTTTTTTGTCCAGTTGATTGTTTGATTCCTGTTAGCATCAGTTTTCAAAAACATGTCACAACTGGAGACTACCAGAATTATTTTTGTGGTATTTTCAACTTCCTAGTAACATCTGTGTTGAAGCAAAACAACTACTTAACAGTCTAAACTGCTTCTAAAAACTCAACTGTAGCTTTTGTCCTAGACTTAGACTGGATAAAAGCATGGTGTTCGCAGACACTGCAGACACGAGAAATACAATACCACACAATGCTTTCAGAGACTAAGCTGTATTTCACTTTTCCAGTAGCTTCTTGCCATATAGAAGTTAAACTCATTTTTCTAATCATGATGTTGAAATTCTTTCACTGACTATCTGAATTATCAAAAGAAGAAGCCAGCATTTTGCATTAATGAAACTCATTCATTTATGAGCATATTTCTTGAAACATTGAAGCTTAGATTGTATTCTATTTTTTTCTCAAAATTATACACACTTACGTATTCCTTCCTTCAGTGCTTAATGTTCTCTAGGAGATGCTGATTTTAATTTTGCCATATCAAGGGCATTATTTTTCCTTATCTGGAATTGCTTATTTTGCTTATGAAGATGCCTCTCCATTCTGTTCGGCCCCAAATTTATAAATCACAGGTTATGTTTTCAAAACAGGAAAGTATAAAATAAAACCTTGGATAGTTTTTATTTGTCTTTTTATTACCTTTGGGGTGTACCTTTTTACTAGCATACGCTAGGTCCTTGTGACTTCTTGCAGTCCTCATTTGCCACTCTTACTAACCATTGGCTGTCTGCAAATTTCTTTTGCAGTGAGTTTGTATTTACTTGTGAGTAAATATGCCTGATGACACTCCATAAATCCACCCAGGAGCATTTCCAATCAGCGATCATTTCGCTTTGGTTACTTTATTTTGAGATCTGTTGGTGAGATGATCGTTAATCTGCTTTACTGATGTGTTACTACTATTCTACAGTACAGATTTTTAAAATGTGATTAACCAGCACGTAGGCATTCAGATCTTCCTGCGTTTCCTGTAAATAAGATGATACGTTATCCTCAGTTAAGTTGAATTGTGAGTGAGATGCATCTTTTTTTAGTCACAAGATTTGTCTGGGGGATACAAAGATCGACTTTGCTGAAAGCTCGTAGTGTAAGGAAATCTTAGGCTGTATTTTATTGACACATTTTTCACTTAGCTGTGTGTTTAGGTTTGGTTTAAGTATTTCTTAAACGCTGTAGATTTTGGGTTCTTGGATTGATGATGTTTGCCATTATTTCAGAGGCAAGTATTAACTCTAAATTTCATGTTTTGAATAAGTACCATCATGAAGCTATCCTTTCTGTCCCATAGGGGCCTGATAATACTCGAGCCCTAGTGCATGCATGTGTGTATTTACTTGCACCTGTTATTAGGAATTGAGCTCAGGAAGGCTCATGGCAATGATTACAGCCTTTTCTTTGCTCTTATCTGCTAATTTCTAATGGAGAGGAAAATCCCATGAGTAAAGAAAGAAGGTGGCGAGAATATTTTAAGCACATACGGTAAACAGCGCTGTTTGCTTAGGCGGAAGTTACTTCCTAAACACTAGCATTTATTGATATTTTTATTCCATTAAGCACTGCTACTTAACAGTTTTTGTCTTCCTCCATTTGGTGTTTCTCCAACTAGCAAGAGGGTTTCTGGGGAGGGAAAAGAGAAGGAGGTGGCAAATTTCTGTGGACCTCTTGGGAACAGAGTGCAGCTCGAAGAAGGTGGCCAAGAGAGGTGGAACAGGAACTCTGAGGACATGGCTGTGGAGTAGGGCAGACAGGCCAGAGCAGATGGGAGCCCATGGCTGCTGGGAGCTACTGGATGGAGGCATGTTTTACTTTGTGAGTGAAGGACACAGTATCTGACCTATCTGTGTCTCTCAAGCTACTGTCAGAAATTCCTGCTAGCGGAGCAGCTATGCTGCATCTACAGAGCAGCAGCACGTGCGTGCAGTGTTGCAGCAGCCCTG